TATATAATGACTGTGTTGTATTGGTCTGATATAATTTATTCGTAATTTCATGGGTTTATGTGTTCACTGTCCTTCTACAAGGGTTCCATAGGCATTGTCTTTGTCTTGCTTTCCTTGTTTTCCTGTATGGATTAAAAAAAGAATACTAAGTTTATTATTTACTAAAAGTTAAACGGACAACTGATTTAACTGTTAATGATTTCAATTTATGCCTTAATTATTGTGCGGTTCTTTAATGAATTGGGGTAAAAGTAATTATAACTAGGAATGAAACACATTGAACTAGAGAAGTACCGATTAGAAAAATTCCTTTAACGTATTGCCAGTTATGTTTTAGTTTAGTAGGCCTAATGCGATTATGTAGTGTGTAATACAAATTTATAGTTTTTATGTTCCTTTTATATAACATTGCGTTTTTTACCTTAAAACGATCGGGGTTTATACTATAATATGTGCTCATTGCGAGGATAGTTGCTAACAGTTTTAACCCAATGAACAAACCGACGAACGAGTAGCGATATCGCTCAAGATCGTAGACGAGACAAGCTCCTTCATGACTACACGAGTCTTGGCGAATCAAACACGTCTTGGAGATCATAGACCCGAAGTAGATCGGGGCAGGAAAGAAGCCTGTAGGAATAGAGAATACAGCAAGTAGACTTAGATTGTGCTTATAATAATAAAATAATTACATAACATAATTTGACCTTAAATGTTTACAATAATTGACATCAAATTAATTAAAGATAAGTTGTCAATAGGCCTATTAAAAACCTATTTACAACACGTACTAGTAATGTATGCGACACAATCATTATTAAACAAATCAATCCCACTGAAAGCATGGTAGGCCTACATTAATACCACGACAAACCCTAGGAATACCAATTGTGGCCTTTATTTAAACTTGATAATGTCTAAATTAAGCTTTGGGGTTCACAGAAATCAATATTTTGTAAATGCCAGCCGACATTTTGTAAAACGTTAACAAGTTTGAAGAGTATGTATTGCGAAGGTGAGAGAGATTAACAGACGATAACAGAACCAAAGTTGGTTTATCTACAAAGTTATAGAGGCAAAGTACGATAGGTGTTATAAGCCTTTTACAGTAATTTTACTCTCTTTATCGTTAGAGTTTGTGTAAACTATACCCTGCCTGTACAGCATAAATTTCAAAATGTGGTATTTGGAAGTTTAATCTCAACAAATGTCATATGCATCTCTATACTCAAGCTCAAATAAAATTTAACCACAAGCCGTGGTGAGTGAGTGTCAATTTTAAATCTTTTTTTACAAGCTCTTTTTTTTTCTTTGTTATCAAAGTACGTTTTTTTTCCACTTTGATCCATTCTTTCGTATAAACGTATCATTTTCAACTGATGTTTTTTAATTAGGACATACCAAGTACTCTCATTGCAACGCCTCCAAAGGCAATTGCAAGCGCACGGTCGCTTGACTCAACACACCTGTAAAAACAAAATTGAATGTACAAAATTATCATAGGTCTACAGGTATGGTTCTAAATAATACGGTAGTTCATGCTGTTATTCTTATTGTTGCTGAGCTGTATCTCGGTGTTTAAGCTTACAAGTAGGCCTATTGTGATGGATTCAGATTAGTGTAAAACACAAGGATTTTTAAGTCCTGTTCACACTACTGATACGGTTTTAAGTGACAAACACCTGATTTGTGCATTTGTAATTGTGGTATGACATCATCATGGTGTGTGGACAGTACATCAAAAACCAAACAACTCCGCTCGTAGGCTTACCGTAATTTAATTCTGTATTAATTGGCGAAATTATTTGCTGTTTTCTCTGAATATAATAAATAGTCCTAATTACTATTATATTGTACACAAATTAAAAGTTTGAAGAGAAATGTATAAATCACCTTAACATCAGCATGGTTCCCGGATTTGGTTTCATAGCAGCAAACACTGATATTATAGCCACAAGCAAGGAAAACGCAAGAAGTTTATCACATGTCCAGTCACATGATCCTTCGGTGCTAAATCCGCCTTCTATCAACCCGTCTGCAGTTTCCCATTCTTTCCCAGTGGTTATACAGCTACATCCAACATAAATCTTTAGAAACGCAATAGTTGTTGTAAGTCTCAGAAACACAGCATTTATTTGGTATTCACAAAGTTGGCAAAAATTGATATATCACAAAACTCCTTCTTTAATGTATTCCCTATATGCTTCTGTTTTCGACTGCAGACTATTCATAAAATCTAATTAGATATTATGTATATCTGTTATATTCATATTAACATTGTTGATTTATACATTAAAACAGTTTTTGAAAGTTCATCTCGCGAAGCAACAGATATTGTGGTACAGATATATCCAACCCGATTCTGCAACCGTCACAAAATCATGAGATGGCTCTGCCGGCCACTGCCAATGCTAAAGTCCCCCCGACCTCCTGCTCGGGTGACTTTGTGATCCTCACAAGGACAGTGCTTCTCTAAAGTTGTTTTATTTAACTTTATGTTATTCATTTCGACAAAATGGTTTGGAATGGAATCGAAGAGTAGCAAAAGAAATTAAAAGAAACCACTGTCGCCAATATCACGATCCACAAACATATATACAGATAAAGAAAAACAAAAAAAAAGTGCCAATAACAGATAGTATTTTGAGGGACGCTAAGTAAAACAATTGAAGACCCTCTCTATTATTATTAATAAAATGCAATCAAGGAACTCTAGATCATAGGCTATTTCGGCTTAAGTCTGTATCTGTATGGATACTGCACTGGACCTCAATGTTGAGTAAAGCGTGCAAGGTGAATGAGTGAGTGAATAAACTAAGTAAGCAGTGAGTGGGTAATAATAGATTTTACTGCACTACTGCATGGTGTATTGCTTACACATGAAAATATTCTACTAATAGGGCCTATATTAAATTATTGTGTGATAAATTAATGTTATTTACCGTATCGTTCGTAGATAGGCCTAATTTATCCAGATTCCCCATACCGTCTCTCCATACATTAGTACAGCCAGCGTGGCACGCACTTCTGTACGTGATTCCGTCAGAATCACACACAGGTTTATAAACGTCATCTGGGCATGCGCAGTTAGAATTGCAGGTGTTGTTTAAATGTGGCAACGATCTGAAGAAAATTTTAACAAAACAAAATGTAATTATGTTGAAAGAAAACAGACCTATCAATCTCACTTCAATAATTAAAACAAAACAAGTGTAATATGTACTTATAGGACTCAGTGGAAAAGTCAGCGCCTGAAATCTTGGATGGGCGGGGAAAGAGGCAAGGTACAATTTTGGGTGCAGGGTGCCCGACGAGAGCAAAGTGGGGGTGGTCGGGCGTCGATTAAAATGTTTCGAAAGTGGTCCAGGGACGGAGCCACCAAAAAAAAAAAAGACAATTTATCGGTTTCAATGGGTTATTTAATCGAGATATATATATATATATATATATGTATATATATATATATGTGTGTGTGTGTATGTGTGTGTGTGTGTGTATATACATATATAATATGTACACTATACATATATACTATAATATGACTGTGTTGTATTGGTCTGATATAATTTATTCGTAAAACCCTCCATTTCATGGGTTTATGTGTTCACTGTCTTTCTACAAGGGTTCCATAGGCATTGTCTTTGTCTTGCTTTCCTTGTTTTCCTGTATGGATTAAAAAATAATACTAAGTTTATTATTTACTAAAAGTTAAGTGGACAACTGATTTAACTGTTAATGATTTCAATTTATGCTTTAAATATTGTGGGTTCTTTAATGAATTGGGGTTAAAAGTAATTATAAGTAGGCATGAAACACATTGAACTAGAGAAGTACCGATTAGAAAAATTCCTTTAACATTGCCCGTTATGTTTTAGTTTAGTAGGCCTAATGCGATTATGTAGTGTGTAATACAAATTTATAGTTTTTATGTTCCTTTTATATAACATTGCGTTTTTTACCTTAAAACGATCGGGGTTTATACTATAATATGTACACATTGCGAGGATAGTTGCTAACAGTTTTAACCCAAGGAACAAACCGACGAACGAGTAGCGATATCGCTCAAGATCGTAGACCAGACAAGCTCCTTCATGACTACACGAGTCTTGCCGAATCAAACACGTCTTGGAGATCATAGACCCGAAGTAGATCGGGGCAGGAAAGAAGCCTGTAGGAATAGAGAATACAGCAAGTAGACTTAGATTGTGCTTATATTATAATAATAAAATAATTACATAGCATAATTTGACCTTAAATGTTTACAATAATTGACATCAAATTAATTGAAGATAAGTTGTCAATAGGCCTATTAAAAATCTATTTACAACACGTACCAGTAATGTATGTGACACAATCATTATTAAACAAATCAATCCCACTGAAAGCACGGTAGGCCTACATTAATACCACGACAAACCCTAGGAATACCAATAGTGGCCTTTATTTAGACATTATCAAGTTTATTAACATGTGAGTCACTTAAAGGCAACACAATGGTTACCGTAAATTAAGCTTTAGGGTTCACAGAAATCAATATTTTGTAAATGCCAGCCGACATTTTGTAACACGTTAACAAGTTTGAAGAGTATGTATTGGTGAGAGAGGTTAATAGACGATAACAGAACCAAAGTTGGTTCATCTACAAAGTTATAGAGGCAAAGTACGGTAGGTGTTATAAGCCTTTTACAGTAATTTTACTCTCTTTATCGTTAGCGTTTGTGTAAAATATACCCTGCCTGTACAGCATAAATTTCAAAACTTTTGGAAGTTTAATGGCAACAAATTTCAAATGCATCTCTATACTCAAGCTCAAATAAAATTTAACCACAAGCCGTGGTGAGTGAGTGTCAATTTTAAATCTTTATTTACAGGCTCTTTTTTTTTCTTTTTTATCAAATTACGTTTTTTTTTTCCTCTTTGATCCATTCTTTCGTATAAACGTATCATTTCAACTGATGTTTTTTCATTAGGACATACCAAGTACTCTCATTGCAACGCCGCCAAAGGCGATTGCGAGCGCACGGTCGCTTGACTCAACACACCTGTAAAAACAAAATTGAATGTACAAAATTATCATAGGTCTACAGGTATGGTTCTAAATAATAGTTCATGCTGTTATTCTTATTGTTGCTGAGCTGTATCTCGGTGTTTAAGCTTACAAGTAGGCCTATTGTGATGGATTCAGATTAGTGTAAAACACAAGGATTTTAAAGTCCTGTTCACACTACTGATACGGTTTTAAGTGATTAAAGGGGTCATTCAAGTATTATGTAACACATTTTTTGACAAATATTGACACCCCTCACCCCTATAACACTCTGTAACACTTTTCCAAACCCCCTTCTAAATGTTATGCAACTCTAGAACCACCCCCCCCCCCCGAACATCAACAATTTTAATAAAATCAGACGAACAACATTAAGTATCAGGATAAATGTCCTCCACTACAAATTTGTCCTACACTACAGATTTGTAGGATGTTTTGTTATTTTTTGATATGGTAGATGTGACTTTATTGTTTATTGATTTCACAAATTCAACACAACTGTGTTACATTACATTATATTACACTGATGTAATATGTTTCAATAAAGAAATATCATACAAGTTTGAATATTTAATATTTCTTCTCTTCCCATGAAAATTAATTTTGTTATGTAACACTTCAAGCAACACCCCCACCCCTATGTCACACACTGTAACATTTTCCACTATACCCCCACCCCTCTCTGCGTTACATAATACTTGAATGACCCCGAATAACACCTGATTTGTCCATTTGTAGTTGTGGTATGACATCATCATGGTGTGTGGACAGTACCTCAAAAACCAAACAACTCCGCTCGTAGGCTTACCGTAATTTAATTCTGTATTAATTGGCGAAATTATTTGCTGTTTTCTCTGAATATAATAAATAATCCTAATTACTATTATATTGTACACAAGTTAAAAGTTTGAAGAGAAATGTATAAATCACCTTAACATCAGCATGGTTCCCGGATTTGGTTTCATAGCAGCAAACACTGATATTATAGCCACAAGCAAGGAAAACGCAAGAAGTTTATCACATGTCCAGTCACATGATCCTTCGGTGCTAATTCCGCCTTTTATCAACCCGTCTGCAGTTTCCCATTCTTTCCCATTGGTTATACAGCTACATCCAACATAAATCTTTAGAAACGCAATAGTTGTTGTAAGTCTCAGAAACACAGCATTTATTTGGTATACACAAAGTTGGCAAAAATTGATATATCACAAAACTCCTTCTTTAATGTATTCACTATATGCTTCTGTTTTCGACTGCAGACTATTCATAAAATCTAATTAGATATTATGTATATCTGTTATATTCATATTAACATTGTTGATTTATACAGTTTTTGAAAGTTCATCTCGCGAAGCAACAGATATTGTGGTACAGATATTTCCAACCCGATTCTGCAACCGTCACAAAATCATGCTTCTCTAAAGTTGTTTTATTTAACTTTATGTTATTCATTTCGACAAAATGGTTTGGTATGGAGTCGAAGAGTAGCAAAAGAAATTAAAAGAAACCACTGTCGCCAATATCACGATCCCCAAACATATATACAGATAAAGAAAAACAAAATAAAAGTGCGAATAACAGATAGTATTTTGAGGGACGCTAAGTAAAAAAATTGAAGACCCTCATGCGCTATATAAATATAACATTATTATTATTATTAAAATGCAATCGAGGAACTCTAGAACATAGGCTATTTCGGCTAAGTCTGTATCTGTATGGATACTACACTGGAGCTCAATTTTGAGTAAAGCGTGCAAGTTGAATGAGTGAGTGAATAAACTAAATAAGCAGTGAGTGGGTAATAATAGATTTTACTGCACTACTGGTGTATTGCTTACAAATGAAAATAATTCTACTAATATATTAAATTATTGTGTGATAAATTAATGTTATTTACCGTATCGTTCGTAGATAGGCCTAATTTATCCAGATTCCCCATACCGTCTCTCCATACATTAGTACAGCCAGCATGGCACGCACTAATGTACGTGATTCCGTCAGAACCACACACAGGCGTATAAACGTCATCTGGGCATGCGCAGTTAGAATTGCAGGTGGTGTTTAAATGTGGCAACGATCTGAAGAAAATTTTAACAAAACAAAATGTAATTATGTTGAAAGAAAACAGACCTATCAATCTCACTTCAATAATGAAGAAGAGTTTTCTGGGGGGGGGGGGCAAGTGCGCCCTTGCACCCGTAGCGCAGCTACTGATAGGACTATATTATTATTATTATTATTATTATTATTATTATTATTATTATTATTATTATTATTATTATTATTATTATTATTATTATTATTATTATTATTATTATTATTATTATTATTATCATTATTATTATCATCATTATCTTACCCATATGATGATGTCCTCATCCATCATTACCATCGTCATAATCACCCTGGTTATCATCATCATCCTCATTATAATTATCAACATCATCATCATCATCATTATCTTTATCATTAGTATTTTAGTATTGTTATACTATACATAGTTACCAGCCGTCTCGCATCTTGCGGGACGGTCCCGCATTTCAAAGTGATTTTGGATGAAATACGCATTTTGCAGAAACACATGCGTGATCATAAATTTTTCACGTATTTAGCACAAGTCTGGCGTGATGACGAATTAGCACGAAATCATGAGAAAATGTATTTAAAATGATAAGAAATTGGTTTTATTAAAAATATTAAAATGGTCTTGAGCCATTAAAGAGTACCGTATACAGTCTTTACGTGAATACTTAATTAACTGTGATTCAGTTTTTGTTTGTTTGAGTATTTTGTGTACATAGTTCCGGTGCTCAAATTAAACATACATTGAAATTCAAATTGTAGGCTTACGTGGCTTTATTTAAAATTGTTTATATACCCGGTATTGTTAACAAACACTCCATGAAATCATTTTAAAACAGCCTACAAATGCTCAGATGGTCGGAACGCCAGGACCGGACCCCACGTGGCTGTTTCGTTTGAAGCTAAAAATGCTAACCCTCACAAGTACTCACCCTTGGCTAAATGAAGTATCGTAATGTGTTGTAACACCAACAATCGCTTGATTAGAACACCCCATGAATAAAAGGGGAATGGCAAATATAAAAGAAAAAAAAGAAAAGACCACCATCATTTTTCCAAGCCCAAACTGGTTTAAATCGAACTTCTTAATACAGAAGCTACTCAGTATATTACTAAACACGGTTCCTGGTAGTTGTATTCCACCTGTAAAAAAAAAAAAAATACGGACTTAAATATTGATCAGAATATGCATGCATTTTTTCTCTGAAAATGTATTTGGTTAATCCAAAGATACTAGAAACAGAAAGATAGAACTTTCCACAAATAAAAACTGTATCACCAAATTGCATAGTAGGTAAACCTGTACACTAATTAAGTTTTTATCTCCAGCCGTACGCGGCGCCCCATTAAATGAGGCGCCTCATATTTGTTGGCTATACTTAGCCAACAAATATATGTATACTATACTTATAAAAAAAGGCGTATGATACGCGTAGAAGATATAACGTTTTTCGCTTCACTTTTGCTATGCGAGAGTTCTGTCTTGTGTTTCTAGTATCTTTGGTTAATCTCTAAAAAGTGGGCATACCAATAACAAACCAAACTGGATTTATTGAACCAATGGCTCATACGGGAAAATTGTTATTGTGTATATTTTGAAAATGTTATTTTATACATTCTATTTCTATCAAAAGATAAAGCAGAAGTGACATAAGTACGATTATTTTAGATTAACGAAGAATTTTAAAGACATAATAGCCTAATTGGATTGAGGCTACAGGGGCAAGCACCTCCGTAAACTAATAAATAGAAAGATTTTTTTGAAAACCAATTATGGTTATTTTTAATTACCGCCGGTGTTTAGGAAATATAGGCCTTTAAATAATATATGTAATATATCTTTGTACAGCCTGGCACCATTAGATTCGATATGCTCTCACTAGTCTTACAGTGTTTTTACTGCAGTCGAGCTACACTGCCGCTACAAGCTTCAGTAGAATAGCGGTGCATAATGGGACTTGAGTTTGAATATATCCCAGATGGTGCGACTTAAATTTCTCCTGCATATCTAAAGCCCTGTTCAGATTCTCAAGACATGCCTAAAAATATTGTAATGGTGGCATCGCATCATGACCATTATAGGCACATCATGACTATATATGGTCTGGACAAGCTTTAATCGCTTCGAATTTATATATTTATTTCAGCTTAACCGCAAGATGGTTCAGAGTATCATTGCGATATATAAAACACGAAATGTCTAAAACAAATCTATATTGACAAACCAATAATGATGGCGGCCACAGCTGCCGTGACTGCAAATTGATTCTCTATATATTTAGCAACGAAGAACATAAACCCAGCGATGATGGCAAAATCACATGAAACAGCTATGGTTAAAAACATTAGTGTTGGGTTGACCAGTATTCTCTTCATTGCTACTACAAATCCTTAAAAAAACATTAAACAAAGTAAATTAAACATTAGGAATGCCTTTTGATTATTACACGGCAAGTTCTGCTTGTTTGTTTTTTTGTTTTTTTTTAAATTTTTTTTTAAATGTTTGCATATCGTATGATATCATTGTTTATTGTTTAAAATGATAAGTGTTTAGCAATTAAATATCAAAACACCATTTCATATTTCATTTCTGTTGCTTAATAGCATGAGTCTATTAAATATTGATGCTCTGTGCCGGGGACGATATCTAAAATGTTGCCTTGAGAGAAACGTCATGCAGATGTCAAGCTAACTACAATATTATATTGGAAAGAAATCAGAAACAACTATACCTTTCAGACTTGCCAGTATGCCATTTTGTTTATCTTTAAAAAAGTCGGTTTTGTAAACATCGGCAATGTTGAATTCTTCTTCCGCATCTTTATTCTTCGAACTTCCACCACAACATGCGCATTCGTACTTCTTCAGATTTCGAGGGAAGAAAAACAAGGGAACAGATAGCACAAGCACCAACACACTGACCAAGACAAACCCAAGCCACCAAGCGCCTATCCAACGAGGGTCAGTAGGATCAGTTGGAATGTTTTCTCCATGAACACGATCGAAATCCACGTACAGAGAAAGACATTGAAAACTCATGAAGAATCCCACGAAAGGACCTACTCCCATAGTTATGTATATTCCAGCTGAAATTTAGAAACACTGATTGTCATTGAATCAATGAATTAACGAATAAAAAAAAATAGAAAAAAAGATAATTTTAAGATGTTTTTCTCTTAATTAAAAAGCGTAACTTTTTTCTTATAAATTTGTTTGTAAAATTCAATTCGACTTCAATTAGCGATTTGAATTAATGGATTAAATCTATCTATCTATCAATCCAACCAATCAAACATTTAATTAAACCAGTCAATCAGATTGATCGACTGATCAAAAACTAATGTGTAATGTACCTTTGTAATTTTACTCTAGGACATACATGGTGTGAGTTCGTCAAAACCTTGAATGACATTTTACATTCGTCTTTGTATAAATTTCAAATAAATAAAGAAAAAAAGAAAAAATCCGCAGCCAATTACAAATGTTTATACTCAAGATGACAGAGATAAGAGCTTACCGATGTATATTGAGGATGTCGTGGAGTCCACCGTCGAGTCGTCCAGGTAAGTGATGGCCAACGGCAAAATTGGTGCTTCAAAGCCGACCAATATCTGACCGATTACAAGCCAGAACACACTTAAAGGCTGTTCCACAGTGGATCCACCCGATGCGCATCGGTCCTCGGTCACATCACCCAGAGAACATAATTCATTGTTGTGTTTTGTTGATTCGTCAGTATCGTTGTCGTTAGAGCTGTATTCGACCGAATTGGCGATAAAATGGGGCACTGCTAGAAGAAAAAGCCCGGTTGCACAGATGATGCCACTAACGCCCATTAGGCGCGGACGGTGAGTTTTTGAGCCATAATAGGTGACAAAGATAATAATAGTTAAACTCACTATTTCGTTTACCGTTGCAATTAATCCGGATTGGGAACTTGAAAGCTGGAATTGCTTTTCAATGGTACTTATACAGGCACCTAAATATACTGGCGCTGCAATAAAAAGGACAAATAAAGGAATTATCACAGACAAAAATGCCACTGGGTTACTGATACGATTACAACTGTGAATCAGACAATCCGTGTCGTTAATGTCATCATCGTCTTCCGATGTCTGAGAATATGCACCAACTTTGCTGACGTTCATGTCGCATCGTGATACGTTTATTCCGTCATCGTCGTCGGCGACACCATTGTCAGGCAAAGTATCATGTTCGTTCATTAGTAATTGTTGTCCAGATGCCGACATCTTTTGCAATCCTCTGTAAGTAAAGAAACGGTAAATATAATAATACTAATTATTATCGTCTATGCCTAATACTTTCGACGTTAATAACATTAACAACAGTTGTTCAAATATTTGAGTACTATTTATATCAATAATAATATATTTGTATTCATTCATTCCTTTATTTATTCATTTAATATTTATTGTCATTGCATAACATCGGAAATACAGTGAAATTGAGTTGGATCATGCAAAGCGTAGTGAGAAAAATCACAGATTGGAAACTTAACAGGCCTAAACTATCATTGAGCGCCCTATTTGCAGAATAAAAATATGATCTGGATCTAGTGCTTTGCTGTAGAGAGGGCTTTATAACATTGCCCATATTCCATATTTATAAGAAAAGATAAAAGATTTGTATTGTAAAAGATGTTTGTATTGTATTGAAAATGTAGAGGAAACATAAACAAATAAACATACATTAAATAGTAAATATAAAATTGGATTTTGTATAAAAAATACCACGATATGTAATATAACTAAAGAGTCTACCGAATGTAAGTCTTTATTAAGAAATATGTTACAATGCCTTTGGTAAAGTTTAACTCTTATTTGCAATGAACAACCAATATCCCAAGTAGGCCTAGAATTAAATAACAATGATGTAACGATGGTACGGTATCGGAAAGAAGACACTGGACTTAATGCATATGTATTAAGAACTGTTCATTATATGATTACTATTTTATCTACCCGCAAAAGTATTTCAAAGGTTTACGTATATTTAGTTATATCTTTAAACTAATAATAATAATAATAATAATAATAATAATAATAATAATACATTTATTATTTTAAAAAATCATGTACTTAATTATAAGAGTGGCTTATAAGACAATCCGAAACTTATTTGAACAGGACTTTATAATGCTTCTGTAAAGTTTAAGAGAATAGCCCATAACTCGCAACGTCATTGAGCTGAATTGCGTATGGGTGTGGTCCATGACTGCCGCCGTAAAGAGGCGCGTATAAATAGCTACATGTTTACATCATTCCACAACGACATATTAAAATGGTTTACAATCAATTTAAATCACACTTTGTTTATAAATGATGTTAGTATCGTGTGTATATTGTTTTAATAAATAGGCTACCGAGTAGACCAAATTAATGTGTTTATTTACCAAATTTTGCAAGCCAACATTCTTTCAATAGCCCAGCCTAAAATATCTTGCTGAAGAAGCTCATGATTTTTAAATTGGAAATGATAATTAAATTTTGCAAAAAACTTACCTGCTAATAAGATGCCAAATAACAACAGGTCAACAACAGTAGTTATAATATAATAGTTTGTTTTTTGTGTGGTATACACAGCCTGATATCTGACTAGTTAATGTTTTAGTTTCTTATATTCTATTGGTTAAAAGGAAAGGAATATGTTGGTACCAGCATATATCATTTGTAAAACCAATTCCCTACTTGAGCTTATGCACAACTCTTTCAGTAACGTAACATGTATCAATCAATATCAATTATATGGCTGACAACCCTCACATTTGTCTTCATTCCAAGGACCGACAGTTAAAATTTATTTGAAGGAATATATTTAAAATAAGAAAGTACAATACATACTCCAAGTATTGAAATACACGCCATCGTGTTGGGATTCAATATTTAGACATTAATTATGTCATCATCAGAAATGAAAAATTATCCATATTAGCTAGCTTATATGCACTAGTACCAAAAGTGTTTAACCAATCAAAACATTACCTCTAGTAGGTGACATAGCAGTGATTTAAACAAGATATCAAAGCATTCTTACTCTAATGATCAAAGATACCTACAAAAACAAAGAAAGCTCTTTTGAAACTCTGGGCCCATTGTTAAGCAAAGGGTGTAGTCTACGTATAGCGAACGCTTCTTTAAACAATAGGATAGACCAGTTTCGGGAGCCTGTCAATAATGTTAGTACTAGAAAATATTAAACCTAATTTATTACTTACATTACAGACGACATTATCATTTTCATGTATACCCTCCTAAAACATATTGGAATGCCTCACAGTTTTTAACATGATCAAATATAACACTATCAGATCGTGAAGAATGTTCTTTAAGTCTAGTTATTAAGCACCTATCTGTCTTACAAATATAATCACTATTGCAGCCTGGACATTTAAAATGATAGACAACAGAACTTCTGTACTCCTTAGGGGTTTGATCCTTAGTAGATATAAAATAAGAAACATTTTCATACTGCCATAAAGTTATGAATTTTACCTCTTTAATTAAGTGTTTCTTTACCTTATTTAAACATCTACGTAAAATGAACTCATCTGGTTTTCCTAGATAAGGCAATCTAACCCAAATCTTAATCAAGCTATCATCAGTAGGCCTATGTATACATTTCTGTCTCTTATACACATCTAGATGTGTATAAGAGACAAGTAGGCCTATGTATACATTTAGGTTCATTTAATTTCTTAAGTACATTATTAACAACTTTTAAAGGGTACCCATTCCAAGACATAAACTTCCTGATGTTACTAAGCTCTGTTTGAAGTTTATCAGGATTACACAATCTGTGGCTTCTAGAAACGAAACTAGGAAACCAGGAGATCTTATGGTTCCATGGAGCAAAGCTATCATAATGGACATATTGACCTGTACAGTATGTGTATTTTTACGATATATACTCATGCTTCCTACACTGTTGTTAAATTGTAAATCCAGAAAGTGTACTGTGTCACTGTTTTCAAATGATTCAAAAGTAAAATTTATCTGTCTATGAAAACATTGAAGTAGCTTAGAATTTGCGGAAAATCATTGGGCTTAGCTGATACTAGCGTGTCGTCAACAAAACGAGTATAAAACTTAATAGTAACTGATTCAATAAGTTTAGGAACAATAGACTCTTCTAGTTCAGTTATTAAAATATTAGCTAAAACTGGGCCAAGAGGCGAACCCATTGAGACACCATCAGTCTGTTTATAGAATTCGTTATTACACGTAAATACAGTTTTAGTACAGCAATCTTTAAGTAGTTTCCTTAGCGAATTTTTCTTAAGGTTAGTAGATATCAGTTTCTTATTGTAAACCCTATCAAGAATTATGTTAATTACCTTAGTAAGGGGAACATTTGTAAACAGAGATTCAACATCAAAAGATACAAATCGGTAACCTAAGTTAAATAAATTGTTTGGTATAGCTTTAATGCGGTCAGCAGCATCAAAAGAATCTCTAAGGACAAAATCATTAACCGTTAGAGGGCCTAATAAGTTTGATAAGAACTTAGCTACTGAATAATAACAAGTACCGGTCGTGTCAATAATAGGTCTTAGGGGGTGGAATATTATCAAAATCTTTATGTAATTTAGGTAGTCCATGGGCTCTAGCAGGCACGGTTAATACTGGACGAATTTCTTTGTATTCAGTTTCAGTTAGTTCATTTCTATTAAATAGTGTCCGGAGGTAGGCTTGTAAGGAGTTAAGCTGCGTGGTTAATGAACAGTTAGATAGTTTCTTAAACTTGAATCAGAGAACAAGTTCGTCATAGATGTGATGTAATCAGTTTTCTTCATTATCGCAACACAATTTCCTTTATCAGGTTTAAGAATTACATACTTATTACGTAAGATTTTTAAAGTATTAATACGTAAGGTCAAGAAAGTTACATGTCATTGCACGAATTGAGTTCTTAATTTTCTCACGTTTAATGAATGATTTAGGTAGAGCATCAGCATTATTAAGTTGTTCCCAAATTGATTCAGCATAAACAAACATATCAGAGTCCTTATGTCGTGTAGCTAATCCATTACGGATACCAAATGTTAAGACAGATTCTTCTTTTTTAGATAATGTTTCGCCAGTTAAGTTAGTAATTATATGGTTAGGGTTCTTACACGTTCCATTGATTATTACATGTTCACGTAGAAGGTTGTTAAATTTACGCCCATGGCGGTAAGATACCTTACGAATTTCCTTATCTACAGTAGTCCTAACATGATGCTTAATTACCAGCACGTAATTAGCACGTAACCATGTAGTAGACTTAACGAGAGCGTCGTCAGAGACCGAAAAACTGTTCTTGCTTACCTTAAGTTGAGAGTACTTGTCCTTTATTTCGTCCTTTAGAATGCTGCGATGATATTTATTCCGTGCCGACTTCAGGTTTCGCCATCTAACAAACTTTGGATATACTTTGTTATCGCGACATTTAACGAGAAAGTCCAGGTCAAGTTCCGTTTTGCGTAGTTTCCTAAAACACTTTTGGTATTTGGTGGTCGCTATATGGACATCTGGCTCAGTAATACCGAACGTTTTCCAAAAACCGAAAGGTCCACTAATTAATCTCAGATAAGAAAGTATAATACATACTCCAAGTATTGAAATACACGCCATCGTGTTGGGATTCAATATTTCGACATTAATTAATATATTTCAAGTAACCAGAAAAAAAATATGAGCAGAGAGAAAATAATAGGCCTATCTGTTGACAAAAATAATTATATGGTACAAAAGAACGCTGTAGTTAATTTTTCTGTGGAAAATTTATATATAGAACAGATTCTGAATGGAAAAATATATTCTGTGTAAACAGAATTGAATATGTCGAAAAGAATTATTTTATCCATAGTCCTAAAGGATTATTTTGTCTGTACATCTTTTTACTACCATTTGCGAAAAATTCTATCTGTCTATTATCCGTCCATTCATCGTTTCTTCCTGTCCAATCATTTGTTTATGCCTTTATTAACATTAAAATTGATTTCAGTAAATCACTACATGACATTCCGTCTACTTTGTCAAACGTTTCAGAAACTTAATTATTTTGCCCGTCTTATTGTACGGTACATTGTATCTCTCTTTTAAAAACAGAACGACCCGAACAGAACGTAAATTTATCTGGCATTTGTTAAATGATTCTGTTTTATGAATATTGTAATATGTACTCTTTGTTTTAAACTCTTCACTTAAAGCGTGAATTGTATTTGAGCATTTTTATACCAAATTTTAAAAAAAGTAATAAATAAATATAAAAATTAATAAATAAAATTATAAAAATTATATATTCACAACAGCTACAAGTAGATAAGGTCAAGTCAATAAAGCACAAATTGTCTGTACAAATGTATGGCTATAGCCCTCAACAATTGTATTACACCTTTTTTATTTCAGGCTATTACTATTAAATATATTAATACAGTATTAGGCCTACATGTTATTCTTTACAAAGTATTGTATTTCTACAATCTCGTTGAGATTGCAATAAAGGTTATATAATGAATCACTAAAAATCTTTATCTTAATATGATATTAACATACAAAAACAATGCGTCCAAGTAAATATGAAATTTAAAAAACTTCAAAACAAGTCAATAAATGCGTTCTATGTTTTATATAACAGTGACACAATAAAATTTACGCGTAAACACTGTGGTGATTGGAGAGCATTCGATTCCATGCTTGAGACTGAAGCATCTGCAGTTATGCGATGTGTAATATTTTTGTTTTATTTTAGTTATGATTTTCGTTTTATTTTAATAATCCAGTGTAAACCCTTTTTTATGGGCTTTTCGACCGTTTGTTTTCCTTTAAGGGTTCCATAGGCAGTGTCTCTGATTTGTTTTTCTGTGGATTAAAACAAAAGCATAAACATTAATTATCTTATTTGATTTATATAGTTATATACATTAAACAACAGTTCAGAGGGCAACTGCGGCCCGTAATCCATCGTAATCAGGGGGGTTTCTGTGGCCGTATTTCATTTTCGGGCAAATCCGTTTTCTAATCAAACAAAACCATCATCGAAATGATGATGAAATTACCAAGTTACATTATAGAATGCTTTAACTTAGCCCTCTGACCCTCAGTAGTCTAGTCCAACTTAGCTTTTGCCACCTGGCTTTTTATAACCCGGAAGTTTGCCACCCGGCCATTCGCCATGCGATCTTTTGTCACCCTGCCTATTGCCATTCTGAGTTAATTGCCACACGGCCATTTACACCCCGCACTTTTTCAGTCCGATTTTTTTTTACCACCCAGGACCGTGGCCATCCGCCGTTTGCCACATGGCCCGTTGATGGCAACGGGATAGGTGACAATGAATACATGGTGTTTCTACAGATAAACACACATCTTGACCGCTAAACTACAGCCCTGTAAATGGAATTATATTACAATAGGCCTACGGTATAATGTCTGTTTAGACGTACTATTTTTGTCACAATGACAATATTTTAGGCCTACCTCCAAACGATCTGGGTTTATGCTATAATATGTACACGTTGAGAGTACAGCTGCTAATAGTTTCAACCCAAGGAAAAGACCGATGAATGAGTAGCGATATCGCTCAAGATCGTAGACGAGACACGCTCCTTCACGACTACACGATTCCTGACGAATCAAACACGTGTTGGAAATCATAGCGCCAAAGTATATAGGAGCAGGAAAGAAGCCTATACGAATAGAGAAAGTACATTCAGCAATTAGGCATTATTTTATTCTTTATAATAATTTGGATAAACTAGCAATAACTGTTAAAAAAAGTTATCATATATATTAGGACATACCAAGTACTCTCATTACAACGCCGCAGAAGGCAATTGCAAGCGCGCGGTCACATGAGTCAACACATCTGTAAGAACAAAGATTGAAAGCACAAAATTTTCATAGGTCTGCAATATGATGCTGAATTGTTCACGTTGTTAGTTTAACAATATTTCTTCAAAGATTAATTCTTATTATGGAGCTGCATCTTGGTGGTTAATGTGCCTGCCTGCTAATGGCATTGTTGTGGGTTCAATCCATTAACACAAGATTTTTGAAAGCTCTTTCCACACTATCGGGTTTATCTGATCTGAGATTTGACCGTAACCAAAGACACCAGAAACACAACTCTCGCATAGCAAAAATGAAGCGGATATACATCATATCTTTTACACAGATCCGGACGTACATGGCGCCTTTCTCTTTCCGCTAATGATAGAAACTTCATCACTAATCATCATACAGTTCTGCGCTTTTGTGTCTGTTATTCTTTTGATTTATATTTGCCTACTTGTTTGTATCTTATGGATAATGGCAACGATTTCTACTTCCGCCAAAGAAGGCTATATGTATTCACACAGTGACGTGAGTTTGGCAGAAGCTTTTTTTTCCGATCCAGTCGTACGCGGCGCATCATTGTTTGTATTCCGACCATACATTTCGGTGATACAGTTTTGCCATAATGCATGTGATATGACATCATCATGGCTATATGGACAAATCACACATTATTTGTCACAAAATCTGACAGTGTGGACAAAGCTTAACCAACAAACAACTCTGCTAGATGTTATAATTATAGAGCACCACATAGGTTCACTGAAATTCCATTCTGTATTTTGATGCTGTAGGCCTACTTGCTGATTTAGCTTGTAGGCCTAATAAATAAAAAGTTAAACCTGAAAGGATTTCTACACCACCTTAACATCAGCATGGTTCCCGGGTTCGGTTTCATTGAGGAAAACACAGTTATTATAGCCACAACCAATGCAAACTGAAGTAGTTTTTTACAGGTCCAGTCACATGGCCCTTCGGTGCCAATTCCGCCTTCGTCTGTAGTTTCCCAGTGGTCATTAGTGGCTATACAGCGGCACCTAATATAAATCTTTAGAAATAATAGTCGTTGTTAGTTTCAGAAATATACCATTTAATTATTCACAAAGTTGACAAAAAGTCAATTATCGCATATATCTTCCTAATTTGTTTTCGTTATCGACTGCAAACTGTAGAATTATTATTAAATAAATTCAGTCAATACTTAATGAACATTTCTTTTTTTGTAAGATATTGTATAATGAAATAATTATTAGAATTCCATAAAGTCTAGTACTTACATGCCTTTGAAGGGTCACCCCACCCAATTTGTGCAAAAAGAGGGCTCTGTCGTCATTGCCTAACACGGTAAGTATTGTAAGTGATAGTGCGCAAGTGATGAGTTGAAGAGTGAAAACATAAATTGCAGTTTGGCTACACAGAGAAATTCTCCACTAAATGTCAATTGTTTTATGATCACATTTTGTTATTTACCGTATCGTTGTTTGATAGGCCTAATTCATCCACATTCTCCATACCTTCTCTCCATACATCCGTACATCCAGCATGGCACGCACTACTGTACGTGATACCGTCAGAACCACACACAGGTTTGTAAACATTGTCTGGACATGCGCAGTTACAATTGCAGGAATTGTTTAAGTTTGGTAAGGACCTGGAGGAATTATAACACATTGGGCCGTAATCGACTGGTCGTTCTTCGTTAAACCACACCCACCTGCGCAGTGGTAAATTCCTAATTAACGAAGACGACCAGTTACGGTAAATACTCGACAAAACAAAATGGCTGAATAGTTTACTGCGATACACGCTGCGTAATCAAGGCTGCTTCGGATTGTGGCAGTGTGGGTTTTCGTAAAAAAATATTTTCATCCGGTTTTTTTAATTCTGTTAGCCTAAAAAATGTTTTGACTTCAATGTGGGTAAATATTGTAATTTTTATTTTCTGAAATTTAATCTAAATTATATTAACGCAAATGTAGTGGCTAAACTGACTAATCGGTCATATTTTTTTGGGTCGTGTGCATAACTTAACACTGATTAACGCATTCTGGTTACGTTAATTTTATATATATTTTATAAATATATACTATAGGCCTATAGTTCTACAAACTAGTATTGAATCAACAATTTATAAATATTCTATTATTGTTATCATTTTTAATTTATTATGTAATTATTATAAGGATCATAATCATCAGCATCATAATCATCACCATTATTATCACATCACATCACCTCCGCATGATCATCATCTCTCATTATCATCACCATAACCATCATCGTTATCCTTATCATAATCCTTATCATTAGATTATTATTATTAGTATTTATATTATATGTGGATGTACTTCTGTTGAAGTTTATGAAATCAATGGAATTGATGATAGTGTTCCCAACATTTACAAGTACTCACCCTTGGCTAAACGAAGAATTGTAATGTGTTGTAACACCAGCAATCGCTGGATTAGAACACCCCATAAATAAAAGAGGAATAGCAAATAAAAAGGAACAAAAGGAAAAGAACGCCATCATTTTTCCAAGCCCAAACTGGTTTAAATCGAACTTCTTAATGCAGAAGCTACTCAGTATGTTACTAAACACAGTTCCTGGTAAGTTTATTCCACCTGTAAGAGATAAAAAGTACGAACATATATTCGACATGCAGTCATTCATTCTCTGAAAATGTATTTTGTTAATCTCTGAAAAGTGGGTTTTCTATATTTTTTCTATCAGGAATCTCGGAAGACCAGCTTTACATAAAATTATTAAGGCGATTCTTTGAGTCAATTTGATTAAACACAAGTCAAAACAGAAATAATAAGCTAATGAGCAGGTCCCTCCCCCACATTAAACAACTGGACCCCCGTCGTCCGACGCCACGATGAGGTTGCCGGATCAAAACTAATAATTTGCCTATCCAAATAACGTGATTTTGATTGCCAATCACTGTTGTTGTCTAAAAGCACAATTTGGTCCATACTGACCTGAAATACTCTTCCCGAGAAACCAACCAGGGATTTTTTTTTTACCTGGACCATAATGGAGTTTCTAGTCAGCTTCTTGGTTCGGACCCACTGTCGGACATGTCTTACCCCTGTCGGCAAATTTCTTGAGCCACCACTAAAATGAGCACTGCCGGCGATAGCGTGTAGCGATTTTGTGAGAACAATACTTAACGTGTAAGCACTCCGATTGATTAATGCTGTTCTGTAATTGTAACAGTAGACCAAAGCCTATGTTGACGGTTGTTGAGGCTAGTTAATATGTTGACGGTTTTTCACGCTAATTGGTATGACCAATAACAATAATATAAGGCTAGACCTAAATAATTGATACGATAATGTATTCATCTATTAATCAAAACATTAATTTCGATTAAATTAAAATTAAATCAGGCATTCTTAACTTGTAATGTAAGGTATTTATTGTGTTGATTATGTATATTTTTTGTTAATGAGTGGATAATAGCTCTCGATGGCTTCGAAACAACAAAAAACCTTGAATCTTGAATTTTGAAACAGCAGTTTTTCGACTGTTGCAGTGCCGATAGAAAACTGCAATTTTTGGCACATAAAAACAGCAGGGTAGCACTGCGGCAACTCAATAAACATTGCCGCAGTGCGGATAAAAACCAGCTGCTCTTTCGCACTGCGGCAGTGCCCATAGCAAACAACAGCGTCTTTCGTACTGCAGCAATGCTGATAGAAAAAAAGCAGTTTCTTTTTGCATTGCGGCAGAGCCGATAATGTGAGAAAGTTGCTTCTAATCCGATTTTGGTGTGGCTTAGTTGGTGAAAATGTTGCATGACTTCGAATGCCAGATGGGGCAATATCTTTAGTCTCACATCTTAACCGTGTTAACTGCAAAAGTGGTTAGAGTTTATTTCCTATAACCTGTTATTACGGATATAATATGTTAAGAAATAATGTTAAAAAAGATCTATTTTCACAAACCAATGACGATGGACGCCGTTGCTGCGGTGACTGCATATTGGATCTCTACATATTTAGCGACAAAGAACGTAAATCCACCAACAATGGCTAAATCACACGAAACAGTTAAGTTTAGAAGCATTAGTGTTGGATTGGTCAGTAACCTCTTCAATGCCACTGTAAGTCCTTCGAAAAACCAAACAAATCAAATATTAAGTTAAGTTATTAGGTCTTTTGGATTATTATAATTAATAATAATAATAATAATAACAACAACAACAACAACAACAACAACAACAACAATAATAATAATAATAATAATAATAATAATAATGTACAAAAGAACTTTTAATCCATGTTAGTAATGTTTAAAAATACATTTTTAATTGTAAGAATTGGCAAAATTCTTAGGGAAAGTTACCACTTGCGAGTTGGTAAATCATAGGCAATTGAGATGTTCATGGCCAATGTGGGCTTGTTTGGTTCCAATATATACACTATATTTTCTTCTTATAAATCATGTACAAACAAAACATTAATTAAATTATGATTTTTGTGATATGTGCTTTGAAATTTTGCAACAATGGTTATTATTAAATTAATGGTTAATGGATTTTTTTTTTATAAAGGGACTGTGGCTCACTTCCTTTAATTCGTCTTAAATTTAAAAAAAATATTACTATATTCCTGTTTTATATTATTTCGATACTTTCGACACTAAGAATGATTATCACAACATTTTCAAAATATACAAAAATAATGATAATAATAGGTCGATTTATAATGTGCAAATAAAAAAGATCTACAAGCGCCAAGCTATAGGCCTACTGCTAGTTGTAAAACCTGTTATTTGCATATCATTTTTTTTTATTGTGTTTGCAGTCTGATGTTAAAACTATATATATA